GCCTTCACCTGGAGTTGAACTGGTATCTTGTGATCTGACCTGTGGAGTGTTAACCACTACACTATAGACCCACAGGTTTTAAAATTTATATTAATTTAATATATATAATTTATATTTATTTAAAAATTATAAAAACTGTTTTTTGTATTTAAAAAGTAAATAAAAATTTTTTAATAAAATTATTTTCAATATCTAAATTTGTATTTTAATAATGTGATTATTATATATTAAAAAAAAATCAAGTTAAAAAATATTTTAATAAATATAAATTTATATTATAAAAACAAACTTATTGCTATTATTTATAATTAAATAAATTATTTGATTTTTATTATTTTATTAATATTAAAATATATATAAAAAACTTAATATTTTAAAAAACTTTATTTTTATTATTTTATTATTTAAAAATTTATTGTTTGTCTGCTTACTATATATCAAGCCATATTTGAAAAAAAATGTATCAATTCTGATCATAATTTGGAGACCAACTTGTATATGGTAGCTGCAGTATCTTTATGTAATCAAGTAATAAACTACTTTATAAAATTAGTCCCTGAATATTCAAGAAGAATGGTTAAAATCAACTTTTCTTCACTATCCCAGAAAATAAATCGATATATATAACAGAAATCCATAGAAATTATATATAGCAAACCTAAGTCCAAACCAATATCAATCAGAACTATTCAATAGAACAATTGCCCACTACACTTTTCTGAAAATCTCCTAATCAATGATACTTGTCTAGAAAGTAGTATCAGATGGTGCAAAAAAATTTTCAGTATTAATAGAGACTATATAATATGTGAAAGCTTCTCAGTTATCCAAATGTTCGGATAAACACATACTCCGCATGGTCTAAAAGTCATCAACCAATCCAACAAAAATATTAGAAAGCTTCATAACAACAAGTACAGTACCCTAGTAGCCTTCAGAGTTAAACTGCTCTTGGGAACTCTTTCAACTCATCTCATACTCCACCAACTATATCTTAACCAATACCCAGATACCCTCTGTCCACAATGCGAGCTCCGCACTGAAGATATTCAACATGTTTTTAGATACCCGGAAACATTACAAGCAACTGAACAAATTATAAAACTATTAATCAAACTCTCCATCCAGACAATAATCACAAACCAATCTCACATATATGGCAAGTCGTCGAATTGTCATGTGGAGTTACAGACAAAATCTTCTTCACTTCAACCCCACCAACTGGATCAAAGCAGCAACAGAATCTTTAACCTTGTTACATGATCTAATTTGGAAACCTCGTTGCTTCACAGCCAACACCTCATCTCTTACTGGAATCAAGTGGAACCACGCTGAGTCACGTAATTCAATTAACTCTATCAATCCAGAAATTAAAAAAATCCCGCAAACCAAAGACAACTCCAATAACTCACAAGACAACATTATTATTGACTTATCTTCTACTGTTACTAATTCATTAATCCAATATAAATATAATTACTCCAAATGTATTTATAGCTTAACAACTCTATCTGCAAATTTCAACTCTATTTCTCCTGATGTTGAGTAGGTATTTATAGTTGCTTGGTATTATCCAGCAAGATATATTGTTTTAAACTTTCTTTTCAATATTAGTTGTATAGTTACTGTAGGCAAGCTAGCATTTAACTCATTGTACCAATATATGAGAAATGTTGTTTCTTTCATGATATATACCATGCTATATACAAATCAAATAAAAAAATGATGTTTACCTAAAAAAAAATAATAATAATAAATAAATATAGTTTCTTTTATATATACTGTAGTTAAATAATAAATAAAAATTTCAATATATTGAATTTTTATATATTGTTACAAATTAATATTTAAAAACAATCATAATATAATTCTTGATTTTATAATACTTGCTATAGAAATTATAGTTTTAACAGAAAGTAATAAACAGAAATAAGATAGATTTAATAAGTTTAAATAATTTGAAAAATTCTTATTGATCAAGAACAGTATTATAAATATAATAATTTTATTTGATAAATATTTTTTTATTAACTTTTTTATTAATTTTTTTCTTTATATATTTTATTATATTATTATTATACTTTTAGAATGACAAAAGAAAATAATAGGATTAAGAGTTAATTCTTCTTTTAACCAATTTTATAATGTGTGATCAATATTGCACAATTTATTATTTCTACATAACAATATTATTTAAAAAAAGTATTAGAAAATAAGACTTCATTAAAAAATTTTTTTATATTTATAATTTTTTTTTGATTTTTTTTAAAATTATAAAATCAAATTTTTATTTATTAAAATAAATTAATAATATTTTTTTTGCTAGATTTTATTAATTTCAAAAATTGAAGATCAAAACAATATTTTCAATAACAATTTATTTGTTTTATTAAAAATTATTTAAATTTTATTTTTTTATGATCTTATAGAAAAATAACTTTTTTAAAAATTTTTGCAATCAAAGATGATATATCAAAAATTTGTATCATAATTTTATTACATATTGATTTTTTTTTGTCATTATATTATTGCATTATTATATTGCTACCACAAGTATACCATCATTAAATTATTTTCATATTCTTGATTATACAGTATATACAGTATATATAAATAATTTTTTTGAGATTGTAACTGTTTTATTAAAATCATAATTATATCTTCTAGCAATATTCATTAAAATCATGTTACCATAATATTACTATAATCTCAAAAATTTTACACACATATATATATATACTATATATACTGTATATACAGTATATATTATTTTTTATTGGTTTTTTTCTTACAATTTTTTTTTTTAACCCGAACATTCAATATGGCAAAATTTCGTGCATTCCTCTCAACTTTCTTTAATCTCAACTTTCTTTAATCATTAATGAGAATTATTCACTTTGTCAGTTCAACACGCGATCGAATGAATGATTAATAAAGGTCCCAAAATTAAATACTTGAATTTATTAATTTTTTCAGATTAGTAACTGTCTTCTTTTCACCCATCCGTCTTCCATCCGAATCTCACATTACCGAGGTCATATTTTTTCTCCTACGGGGTGATATATAATGTTTACGGTAACAGGAACTATATACATAAACACTACGTGAAATGCGGTAACGCTTTGCTAATAAGGAACCGTGGTATAGATGTTTTACGGAAAAGTGGTATGAGATTATTTGGGAGCAAGAAGTAATGCTCGATCAGAGGAAGAAGGAAGAGATAAGAAGACAATCAGAAGAAAATTTTTGTTTTTCAACCCCCACCATTATCGCAATATTGAACCTGGGTGAAGAAATTGTTTGCTTGCTACTATATACTACATGAATCAAGAAGAATGATGCATAAAAAAAAGATTTGAAAATCCTTTTTTTTTTTTTTTTTTGAGTTCACATTCCGCGAGTCGTTATTAATGATGTTCGATTTTTTTTTTTTGTACGCATTATGATTATGATGATTTTTCGACTCGTCAGAAGGTGGACATCGAAAATCCCAAAAGAAATTAGAAAAAAAAAAAGAAAAGAAACAAAAAATTTACAAAGAAGTGAGAAATTATTAAAAAAAAATTGAAGCGAGATTTTTTTTTTTTGTTTTTTTTTTTTTGAATTTTATGATTGTGTGTGGGAAAGTAATTTTTTTTCTTTCTTTCAGATTTGATTTTTTGTCATAGCAATGATGCCTTGATTTGTTGATTATAGCGTTCTTGTTTTCTTTGGGAGGTGGGTGGCGGATACCTTATTGCGAAAGTTGGAGGTTGATTTACGGCGCGGGACCTTACGCTCCTTTTGCTCAGGTTTGTCGAAGCCGGCCAGATATCGCATGTACAAAAACGTTTCGGCGATGCCGATGATGGTGCTTCCGGCGAGTGCGAGTAACACGCGCTGATAATCAAGGTTTAAGAAAAGAGAGTGAGAAAACATTTCACCGATCATTATACGAAAGGGAGGAAGATATGCTTACCATTCCTGTGTCGCCAGTAATGTTCTGAGCGACGTGGTATACAGCTGCAAACACGGCGACCACAGTGAACGTGATGTTGACTATTGCGGTGAGTTGACCCCGGAAGCTTTGGAATTCTTCGGTGTCGAGGATCTTGAATGTTTCAACATCGTAGGAGGAAGCGACACGTCCAATCATACGGGCGTATTCTTTGTTTGCCTGTTCGGCAAGGATCGTTTCTAGTCGAGCGATTAATTCGGGACTCTGGAGGAGAATAAGATGGTTAGAACGGCAGTGATGAAGCGAAGCAAAAAAATGAACATTAATTTATCTACCTTAATCTTTTCTTTCCGGGGGTCCACGTACACCCCACTGCCGGTAAGTAGTTCATGCAACCAATATCGTGAAAAGCCTAATAATAATAATAAGAGATAAAGAGTTGGATGTGTGAGAAGATGATTTAATTAATGCTAAACCGTAAGATAGCGAATGGGCGAATAGGAGAAGAGAAAAAGGAAAGATTTGATAAGAGAGAGAACAATAGGAAGGTGTATCTTTTATGTGGCGTGGGACGTGAACAAGTATTTGCCGGGAGAAAACGGGAATGAAATCAGTGTCTATAAAAGGAAAGAAGAAAATGTAGAAACCCTTTCCAACAATGGAAGTTGTCTGGAAATCAATGGAATATGTATAAACATTGGGAACATGAAGATGCTGCTGTAACGGTTATTGTGACCCAAACTACTCTATCAATGATGCAAAGTTTGTGCGATAAGAGAAAAATAATAAAAAAAAAAAAAAAAATTTTTTTCGCCCATGGGATATCTTACTGGAAGAACGACAGCGATAATGACAAATGAAGAAGAAATAAAAAGTGCCGAATCATTACCAACATCTCTGCCTAGCTTTCCGTCTTGATGAACCATGAACCTGGACACCTCCTTGATGAGGTCAAGAGGAATGCAGGAACTGGATTTGAGATAATTCTTTAACCTCTGCTTTGCCGATTCGTCGAACTCTGGAGATTGCAAAGCTTGGCAGACGGCAATCCTGATGCGTTCAGTTAAGACTAGTAAAACCATCTCTACTTCTTTTCAATGATTGATGTTAGAATAGAGGGGTGATGGGTGGGGTAATGGTTATTGTTGGAAGTGCAAGTGATATGACACGTATGTAAGAAGAAGATAGTGCGTTTTTTGTTTAAAACGTTGAGATTTCGTAATTCGAAATAGGTGAGAAGTTTTCCTCAGATAAATTCTTTTGTCTTTAGAAGCGTAGAGTAGAAAAGTCAGTCATGAAAAACATATACGACCGTTTATTGCTTATGGAGAGAAGAAAGGGTCGATTGGCCTTTTTTTTTTTTTTTTCAGGGAAAAAAAAAAATTCCAAAAGATTACGATGACCGAAGTGGAGAGAAAAAAAGAGAAAGGCGAAAGGGGAGGTATAAATAATTGTTTTGATTGCTATTTTGAAAACAGAGTGGTGGCGGATAGATACACCGAGTGGCGATTAAGATAGTGAGATAGTGAGCGTAAATTGCTGATACCGATTGATTAATAATAGTGGATGATGAGGTGATACCAAAAGTAGGTGACAGATGGACAATCGTCTCCTTGCATCATTTCAAAAATGCAAACACCGAGGCATATTGTTTTTTTTAATAGTAAGGAATATTAAGGAATATACGGTGATTCGTGGTGATTG